ACAAAAACATTAAAAAGGCAGACCTTCCAAAAATGTTGCAGCCCCCAAAGAATCCCATCCCATCACCAAGTCCATCCTATCATCAAACCTGCCCTGCAAGAACGACCTGAGAAAGCCAACAAGTCTTGCAGCAGGACCCAAGGGTCACCAAAGCCAGGTTCTGGGGGATCAAGAAGGGAAGCAAGTTCCAGACCCAGGCACACTTCCCCAGCCTTCTCTTCTTAATAGCATGGAACTGTTTATCTGAGCTACTCAAGTTACCATACTCAAGTTATCATAGTTTCCACAGTGTCACACCAGAAAAAAAGCAATGCCCCCCACACAAACAGGGATCACGGCACTAATGATTCCTACCCATGGGGTATTCTCTTTCAAGAAACAATGCTACTAGTAATGGTTGATTATTCTCATGTGCAGAAGACTGGGCCACAAGCACTGGGGATAAGCATGGAGGGAATTTCAGGCTGGAAATAAATCACAGTTTCCTGCTCTTTCAATTTTTGGAATCTTGCGTTTATTAAACTATCAATTGGGAAGTGCCTCATCACACTGCTGTGCTGCTACTCTGGATCCATCCCCAGCTAGTCTCCAAACAGAGCGATGTAGTCACACAACACAGCACTCCCCAATACGTTAGTTGACCATCTTGGTACATCATCTTGATATATCTTCTCTGCTTCTGCCATCTACAGCAGTATAAAAAAAGCAATGCCTATCCCGTCTCATTAGACTAGTGTTACAAATGTGACGTTATGCCCCATATTATTTATGGCAATATGCTTATGATATAGATGCAGCATAACAGATATTTTATGCAAGATGGGTCTTGTAAGGTATCATCAGAAAGGTTATAATTTACTGAATGTGATTATCCAATTTGTATGCATGTATCATTTCTGTATCTAAAGTTAGGAATACCGACTATGCAACAATTACAACTGTGTGTGTATTTGGGAGACACCCACCAGAAAACAGGCCATCAGCCTTGATGGGCCATTAGGAAGAAACAATAAGACTTTGAAGATACTAATCTCTCTCCTTCCTGAGAGGCATCCTGGGAAGTTGCTGTGACGCTACTAGGCCATGTGGTCATGTCACTGGTACTAAACACTATCTTGGACTTCTAGTAATTTTCCACTAAAAGGAGTGGGGAGGTCAAGACTGAGAAACAAAAGATTCCCGCCTTATTTAAATCTTATCTAAGCCTGTGGAGGTAAGCTGAACTTGGTTCACTCTTCACTGAATCCCCACCCAGGATGACTGCTGGAAACACCTAAGGAACAAGGACAAAGGGAAAAGGGGAGGAGTACTGAACCCAGGCTGGAAAAGGAATATAGTCTGAATAAGATACCTGAAGATTTAAGCTGCAAGCAGGTTAGCTAACCTTCAAAATTTCTGCAACCTGCCCCAAAAGCAACGTTTAGGGTAAGAAATTACTTATTAAAGAGAGTGGTTTCAAGATCTTAAGCTTAGTATGTATGTTTTGTTTTATTTGCTTGGTAATCTGCTTTGTTCTGTTTGCCATCCCCTATAATCACTTAAAATTTACCTTTTATAGTTAATAAACTTATTTCTTTTTAGAACATAACCCAGTTTGTGTAATTCATATCTGGGGGTGGCTGGCGGGGCAGGAAGCTGTGCACCTCTCTCTCTCCACAGCAAGGGAGAGGGAGAGATCTCTCTATAAAGCGTAAGACAATATTGTTGCCAAGAAGGCCAATGGCATTTTGGGATGTATATGTATGGGCACTGCCAGCAGATCGAGGGACGTGATCGTCCCCCTCTATTCGACATTGGTGAGGCCTCATCTGGAGTACTGTGTCCAGTTTTGGGCCCCACACTACAAGAAGGATGTGGAAAAATTGGAAAGCATCCAGCGGAGGGCAACAAAAATGATTAGGGGACTTAAACACATGACTTATGAGGAGAGGCTGAGGGAACTGGGATTGTTTAGTCTGCAGAAGAGAAGAATGAGGGGGGATTTGATAGCTGCTTTCAACTACCTGAAAGGGGGTTCCAAAAAGGATGGAGCTAGACTGTTTTCAGTGGTAGCTGATGACAGAACAAGGACTAATGGTCTCAAGTTGCAGTGGGGGAGGTTTAGGTTGGATATTAAGAAAAACTTTTTCGCTAGGAGGGTGGTGAAACACTGGAATGTGTTACCTAGGGTGGTGGTGGAATCTCCTTCCTTAGGAGTCTTTAAGGCCAAGCTTGACAAAGCCCTGGCTGGGATGATTTAGTTGGGGATTGGTCCTGCTTTGAGCAGGGGGTTGGACTAGATGACTTCCTGAGGTCCCTTCCAACCCTGATATTCTATGATTATTTTGGGTTTACTCCCCAAAAGGGGGTGTGCACTTCAGCGCTGGGCAATTTCCTAGCTGAATCTCCTCATAGACAGCTGCTTGCAGACTGTGATTCTACAACTGGTGCATCCCTACCTGTGTGTGTGTGCGCTGCCAGAAAGCCTGATTCAGCAAAACAGGGAGAGGGCCCCCAGGCTAGTGGAGCAGGCAGGCTCAGTGAAATCCCAGCACATCAGGTGGCATCCTGGACCGGGCCGGGCCAGAGGGGGGACGGGGGGGGGCGTGAACAACAGGGGAAGGTGTTCCAACCTGTCACAAAATATATTTAAACAAACTGACCCAGCTCCAACATTTTGGCATGTACTGATGAAACTCCATTGTTTGGCAATGATAGATGTGTCATTTGTTTGAGGTTTCTTTAAAAAAAACTCTCCAACACTACCAGACAGTTTTTGATATATCAATACATTGCTATGGAAAGGACTGGGATGTCACAGGTGTAACCTGTGACCAGCTCTGGCTCATCCCTGGGAATGGGACTGTAAAACATTTAAGAACACCACGCTTTAGAAATATGCACAGATATTTTATTAATCAATTATTTCCTTTAGGTAAGAGACCTTGCTATTTTCAGTAAGCAGTTTTCAAATTACAGTCCAAAAGAATGGTTTACTTTAAAAGTAAGAAGAGGGGGAAATACTCACTTATTGAAACAGATTTCCCCACTATCATCAGAAAACATTAATAATCTGCATTATTCTAAGCCTTTTCAGCGGTAGTGCTTCACTCAGTTGCCTCCAGCCTTCATTTACTCTAATGCTGCTATACACTGAGCAGCCTTAAAATATTTCTGAACAGCATGCGAGTAACACTGTATCAGCTGAACTGGGAGTTGATCAGACTGATTTAAATATTGTAGTTTCACTAATGCTCCGTTGCAGCTCAGCATCCCTTCTTATGCCTGGGGATCACTTTCCTGATATTTCGTTTTTAAACTCTCTCTCTCTACTTGTTTACTCACGTCTCAAATCAAATGGTTTACATAGCTCACTGGCTAGTAATCTGTTTAAAGAATATTTTCATTTTATATTCTGTCACTAAATACTTTACAACTATTTTATTAATTCCCACGAAGATGTTTATTGCTGGATGAAACTTTAGAATCAATGTGTTGTCACTGTTCAGCATTAATGAATGCAGTCCAAATAGGTATAGATCCCATAAAATTTTGCTTTTGAGGATCTTCCTCAGAGAAAAAAAAAAAGTACAAAACTACATGCACTCAAAATTGTACCATTCTAATTGTGGAAGCACTGATCTGATTCCATCGATAAAGGTTATTTCAAGGAGAAAAATTAATCCAAAGAAGGGAAATGTGGGTACCTGGGGCTAGATTCACAAAAGGACTGAGGTGTCTATATAAAGTGCCTTATGTCCAATATTTATGCACCCCGTCATTCACAAAACCACCACTGAGCTGCCACCTAATCTTGTAGGTGCCTACATTTCTTGGGTGCTTTTGCCAGTGGGCTCGTGCAAACCTGCATAAACCCTGATAGGATTCTCAGACTAGGCATTTCTCATCTGCATGGCCCAATCCAGTAGCTATGCTCAGAGTACACCTAATCTATACAAAAAAAGCTTCTCCTCAGCATTTCCCACTTGCTAGTTTGCTGGCTTCTGTGTATCCCTTTCTTATGTACCTAACTCTCCCCATACAATGCATGGAAAGTTTGGGCGTCTAACTCAGGGTGGTGAATTTCACTCATCAGCAGGGTGCCTAGGAGTTAGGCATTGTAATGCTTAAGTTCCCTTTGTGAATCTAGCCCCAACTTTTTTACATTATATAAAAATGTTAAACCTTGTATTCATTGGTATTATATGGCAATCCCAGTTTATAGTCCAATCCTACAAAGTCAATGAGAGTTTTTCATCACTGTCTTCAATAGGAGCAGGAGAAAGGAACATAACTGCTCTATCTGATCTGCACAGCAGATCCAGCTAGTCCAACATCCCCTTTCAGAAGTGACTAGTACCAGATGCTCCAAAACAAGGTACAAGAATCATCAAAGTAGACAATTACGGAATAGCTTATCCACAGCAGAAGAATTTTCTTGACCCTCTCACATAGTGGCTGGTTTATTCCCTGAAACATGACAATTTATATCCCTTCTTTAAAACATATCCTATCTAATGTCACTGCAAATGTTATCCACATAAATGTCTAACCCTATTTTGAGTCCCACTAAACTCTTGGCCTCAATGTGATCTTGTGACAGTTAGTTCCACAGATTAATTGTATGTGGATGTAAAAGATATTTCCTTTTATCAATTTTAAATTTATCATGTTCTTTTATTTAACTTTTTTATACCATCTCCTCTGTAAACAGTCACAACCTTTTCAAGCTCCCCTCACATGGAAGACTTTCCATGCCTCCTGTCGTTTTATTACTCATCTCTGACTGCCTACTGTATTTCTGCAATTTTTTTTCAGGATCAGGTCCAAACTGCTTTTGGCCTTGATCCTGAAAGGTGCTGTGTGCCCTCAACTAATTCCAATGGCTTTAAGCATCTCTCAGGATCAATCCTTTTTGTACAACTACTGATCTTTTTATAAGTTGCTGTTATGGTAAAGAATTAGATGAAACTGTAGCTTGCATCTCCTTCTAGCAAAGGAAATGCACAAAGATGACTCACCTCTGGTTTTGGAACAAAGGCTCGGCCTGGAATTGTGAACCGGTTTTGAACAGTGCAGAGATACTGAGCCATGATGGACAGTCTGCTACGTTGCTTGCTTCCCGTGGTGGCTGTGAGCCTCTATGGGATAATCAGAATGTCACTTATAAGTCAGTGAATCGAGACTGACCAAGTGGAAAGAATATTAAAGCTCTATCAACTTGCAGCTTAATCTAAAGGTAAGGATATTTAAAACCAAGAGTAACAAAAGCATTTTTAAAGGCACCCTCTTAAAAGTAAATACAATGATCAAAATTAATGTCCAAACCATCCAAAGTTTTTCTAACATGCCTATCAAGGTATCTAAATTACATACAATTTATTGCCCCAAACCTGTAGGTTAAATCTGTACAGGTAGTTCCCTGCACTTCTGTGGAGCTTCAGTGATATAAAAATGGTTCTGGGAGCCACCTGAACAGATCTGCTTGCAAGGCTCATGCTGAAGACAGAACTGAGTGACAATGTTCCCAAAGCCTCCCTTGTTCCCAATGTCCGTGTTTGAGCGTTCATTTTTCTGGTCTTTTTTAATTCTTGCAAGATCAAATATTAGTCAAATGAGGTTCTCACAGACGCAATATAAGGAAGCAAATAAAAGTATTATTCCCTGTAAATCCATCTGAACTTATTACAAAGATAAGGATGATTTTTCCCTCCTCAATAACTGGATGACATTTTAAAAATATCGTTAAATGAAACGGTTTAATAAAAATAAGGCAACAAATCTTCAAATTGTTTTCACTTAAAATTCAGCTCTCAAGATCTCTTAATTTCCAAAAAAAGGTCTCAAAAAGACTTACAAGGCCAAAATTACTAGTTCTGTAATGCATGACTACTGTGGTGGTCATTTATCGGAAACTAAGTATAATTGAGCTAAGAATGAAGCAGTGTTGCAGGTCACATAATGAACCATCAGCGAGATAATCTTAAGTGGAGTAGGTGGAAATGTAATCTCTATCTGCTCTTGGTGCCTCTGTTTGCACTTAAGAAACACGGGCATGGGATACCACACAGAACCTCCCTTGCTAAGCTACAGAAACGCATGGGAATTTTTTCATACATTTTTCAATGAGTCCTAACATCAGTTCAACTGAACTGGTATGAAAACATGAGGAAGCAGTAGGATAAACGAGGCTCCTGTGACTTTCAGCTATGTTAGTTAAAAGTGGTAAAAACTGGTCCGGTCTATACTACTGTGCCCATGATCTGTTAGAAGTGGTTAGAAGTGGTTCTTATTGCACTCAAGTATCATAAGGTGATTCATGTCCTCATTTGCCACATCACCTTTGTTTTCACATTATATGCAGATGAAAAAGATGACATGGATATCTGATGGTAATGTCTGCATCCAATGTGCCCTCCAGTGAACACAGTACCACTGAATGTTGGCGTGGCTACTGAAGCCTTGCATACAGTAGGAAACTGAACTGTTGTTGAAAATCCCTGTACTGACACTACAGATGGCTTAAGTGCTAATGTAGAAAAGACAAAATCATTTTCAATGCTATTTCAGAAAGAGAGCATAACACTTGGTTTTGTCTGGTCTACGCTAGTGCTTAAAATGAAATGACTGAACTGGTTTAACAGTTCAGCTTCGCTGAAAACACCACGCAAGAAAATGCAAGTTATGTGCCACATAAAGTTGTACAAAGACGTTTTGCTGTCAGAATCTGTATCACCACTTTTTCCTTGTTGTTGCCCTTTTTCGTCTTTCAAGCTTCTCATTCCATCTAAAATCCATATATGGGCAATGTTTGATTTTGTGCCAAGTAAAAAATAAAAACAGTAATAAGTATTTTTGGTCATACTTTTTTTTTCTTCCAACAAAAATAGAAATTCTACTTACTAGTATCTTTCATCTGATGATCTAAACGTGTACCTCTATATACCTCTGTGAAACTAAGCGTTGTTATTCCTGTTTTTCTACTAGTGCATTTTAAATATTTATAAGACACCTATATCCTGGATATCTAACTCCAATTTTTTTACGAACAGCTAAACGGAGGCAGAAAGGTGAAACAACTTGCCTTAGGTCTAAACAGAGCGCGTCAGATCCAGGAATAAAACCTAGAAGTTCTGACTCCCAGTTTCCTGGCTGACCATAAGGTAACCTGTTTTTTTACTGAAGGTAGTATATTTCCCCAAAAGGCATACATACAAACGGAAATGTGAACCATAACACTGAAAGACTTTGATCTTTTTTATAAAATATTCATTGGAATCATGCACATTTAAATAAATGAGAAACCAAGAAACAGAAGATCCTACAGTGTAAACACAACCAGCACTGACTCATTCCATGACCTTGAGAACATCACTCCACTTTATAACGTTCAGTCTTTTCAGCTTTCTAAATACAATGAACTTAACGGGTATGCTATTTTGCATGTCATTCGAGCTATGTTGGGTGCAGAAACACTATAATCTCCATGTCATGTTGAAAAAAAAACCCTAAAGGCACATACAGCTGGTTATAGCTATATAAAGTACAGAGTGTTTTTATGTTCTCAATTCTCTTTGTATTTCTTTCTTCCTGCTATCATAGCATTCCACATCTTTCCACTTTATACTTTAAAGCCTAATCTATTAGCCATTTTTTAATGTTTAGGCTAATAGCTCTCATCAAGTATTTTGGGGGAAAGAACTGGATCTTGTGTGTCAGAAATCACATGGACTCAGACGATAAAAGAAGGCTGCTTTATTTCACATTCACAAAATACAGACTACTTGTCCCAGATGTTCTCTTCAGCCATATACTGGAACCACTTAAGTACTTATCTCAAACCCTGTCCTCCCAAACACTGCAGTAAATGTAGCAGAAGGATGGGAGCTCTAGGTACCGGAGTAACGCTCTAGGTACCCGAAATAACAGGAGAGGTTTAATTTATGGCTTACAATCAGTGTATTTCTCATTTACACAATTCACAAAGGCCTTGCAGGTAAAACTTAATGTCTAACCTGGTTTTCAGTTTGGAGCAGCTACTTTAGCCTTTTGACTGCAACACATAGAATATACAAACAATACTGAATACTTACAGAACAATGAAGTGGTTGAGAAAATGGTAATCTGGTTTTCTCAAACACTGAATGAAATAAGCTAAAAAAATGTCTGAGGGCATTGTAGAGTGAGTCAGCTGATCATCAGTTGACTAGAAACATCTGAGAGAGTCTGTTGAGAGCAGGAAAATCAATTTCACTTTCATCAAGTTTCTCAGTTTTCAAATGAAATGTAATCAGTCAAAAACTGCTCCAGGAGTTCTTAGAATTGGAAACTGATTTGGTGCACTCAGTTTTATTCTTATCAGAGTCAGGGTATGGTGAAGAGATTGGCAATGGTTCCATTGATTTCTGGCATCAAGATTATATTCAGGAAAGCGAAGACCAGCGTCTATGGGCTCCACTGACAAGAAATTCCCTATGTTTGAAGTGTTTAATCATTGGTGGGAATCAGTGATATGACATATTTCAAAACTGAAAATCTTCTGTTAGCAAAGGAGGTCTAAAATAAAGCAGGGTAAAAAATTGCTTCCAGTGTAATTCTTGAGGTGACTGAAAGGTTTAGAAAAACAAGATGAAATGTAACTCAAAATGTCACGTCAGCTGATGAGGAAAGGAAATAGTTGAAGACAGAAAAGGAGCATGCTGTGGAAGCTACTTGGAATGAAGCAGTCAGACTTCAGAGAAAACAAGATTGTGAAATGTTTCAATGCTTAAGGGATATTTGTCTCCCACATAAGAAGAAACTTTTTATAAACAGTGTGCAATGCACAGAACTGAGCAGATTTTGAAAATTAATATTAAACTGTATAATTTGTAGCTAAGCACACACAAACTTAAGCACTGTGCCAGGTTTCCTGCCTTAAAATTACAATTTCAGAGAAGTATAGACTATTAGGCAGTTTTAAAACATTCTGCAAGTCAACAAAATCTCTCTCAGGCTTTTCTCATCTATAACTAAAGTAATTAGGTGCTGAAATAATCTGTCCAATTGTAAGTTTTTAATAAGCCCATAACAAAACTTACCTCTGCTACTTCCTTCTGAAAAGTCAAAGTCATCTGAGTTCGGCCATAAACAAAAGGTCCATCTCTATTGGAAACATTTTCAAGCCACCTGATGATTAGAGGTGTTGAAACACTGAATGGCAGATTTCCAATGATATGCACATTTGGTGGATCTATAAGAATTTGAAAAGAAATCTTTTGTAAAAATAGGTAGATAAGTGGGGTAGGGTGAAAAGCTGTGGTTTTGTGGAACACTGATCACTTTCTACAATTCGAGAGGGCTGTATAATTTGGAAGACCTCCACCTCAGCAGAAGAGGGACTAATCTCCTTGGGGACAGGCTGGCTAGAGCACTCAGGAGGGAATTAAACTAACAGCAAAAGGGGAAGGTACAAAGAAGGAGGATATGAGCCCTCAGAATAAAATCGAGATGTTGACAACAAAATTTATTCAAGAAACCAAAGAACGTAAACAGAAAAAAAATCTTGAATTGCCTATACACTATGCTAGGAGTCTAGGTAACAAACAAGAGAAACAGGAAATGCTCATTTATGAGCATAAATTTGATCTAGCTGGTATTACTGAAACCTGGTGGGATGATTGACATGACTGGAATGTTAAATCAATGGTTATGACCTATTTAAGAAGTATCAAATTGGGAAAAGTGGGAGTGGCACTATGTAAAAAGTGGCATTACTTATTTCCACGTCCCTAATAACGCAGAAGAAAATTATCTTGAATGCTTATGGCTCAATGTCCTAACAGATAAAGCACAAGATGGGATAATAGTTGATGACTGCTACAGACCATCACATCACACGGGGGAACAGGATGACTGTCTACTTATGCACTCATCTATAATATGTAGGAACAAAAACTGTTATCCTGAGGGACTTCAATTTGAGTGACATATGCTGGAGGTCTCATGCTGCCAGTACTTTAAACATTCATGGAATTTCTAAACATTATAGATGACAATTTCCTAATTCAAAAAATATTGCAGCAACATATTATATTATATATTATACCTTGTCCTAACAGATAAAGAGAACTGAGCACAGAACTAAAAGTGAATGGTAGCTTAGGTACAAGTGATCAGGACTTGATCACATTTATAACGTACAAGTGGAATAAAGTCCAGACCAGTAATACACACACACTTGGTGCTTTAACAAGGCCTATTTCACAAAACTGAAAACAATTATGAGCCAAATGAGTGGAGTCCTGGCCAAAAGAGTGATGCTTCCCAGGATTGCATTAACAGGGGAATATTGAGTAGGAGAGGTTATTTTGCTTCTGTATTTGGCACTGGTGTGAGCGCAGCTGGAATACTGTGTCTACTTCTGGTACCCACAATTCAAGAAGGATGTGGATAAATTGGAGAGGGTTCAGTGCAGAGTCAGGAGAATGATTAAAGGATTAGAAAACATGCCTTACAGTGACAGACTTAAGGAGCTCAATCTATGTAGCTTAGCAAAGAGAAGGTTCAAGAGCGCCTTGATTACAATCTAAGTACCTTCAATCTAGCAGAGACAGGTATAACACAAACCAATGGCTGGAAGTTGAAGCTAGACAAATTCAGATGAGAAAATAAAGCATAAATGTAATGGTGAGAGTAATTAACCACTGGAACAATTTACCAAGGGTCTAAGTGGAGTCTCCATTACTGACAATTTCTAAATCAAGATTGGAGGTTTTTCCTAAAAGATACACTTTAGGAATTATTTTGGGGAATTCTACGGCCTGTCCTATAGAGGAGGTCAGACTAGATGATCACAATAGTCCCTTTCAACCTTAGAATCTATAATCAAATGCATCTTGACAGAGTTTACACAGAAACAGCTTTACCCTTATTCTTCTTTTCATATGCAATAAATAATTCCGGGAACTTTCTAACATCCATCCTGTGTATTTGTATCTAAACTAATCAGACAGAATACAATTCTTAAATGCATCAGTTCTAGAAAAGTACATTTTAAAAATTCAGCTCCATCCTCATATACACATTTGCGCATACCCACGTTTTATTAAATTCCCAATAACATGGGAAGATGCAATACAGCAGGGGATTTTCCAAAAAGAGTTAACGGAATATGTTTCCTTTGAATCTCAAATTAGAAAAAAAACTTTTAATGTTCTTCTGGCATCCACCAGATGCTGTGTCTATATTTGACTAAGAAATCAGGTTTTGGAAAAGACGACTAAACTTACCTATAAGTTTATCTAGTACTGTCATATGGTTTTAGGAGAAAAGGTGAAATCCAGCCATAAGAAAACCCCAAGATTTGATAAAAAGCCATGATTAGACCTTATACTTTCCCAGTATGCATGACTGAAGGGTCAGCAATATAATTCACATACCACGAAACTCTCCAAGTTTCAAAGAGGATTCTACAAGACTCTTCAGTGGGGTTACAACAGAATTTAATAAATGGTGGTTCATCACACAAAAGCAGGAGGATTGGGGAAAATAACAATACGTGCACTACGTGTTTTACTTCTGTGCTCTTCAGAAACTGTTTTTTCACAATGACAACATCCTGAGGCTAGTACTTGCAAAGGTATCAACCATTTAAAATTATACAAATTCAGCCTCTTTGCCTTAGGGCTCGTTTACACTTAAAAGGCTGTAATGGCTTAGCTGCACCCACCTAGTTCTTCAGTAAAGACGTTACCTAAGCCAACAGGAGGGCTTCTCCTGTTGGCGTGGATACTCCACGTCCCCAAGAAGAGTAGCTATGTCCAGGGGAGAAGCCCTACCATTGACGCAGTGCTGTTTACAACAGGAGTTAGGTTGGTGTAACTGCCTTGCTCAGGGGTTTGGATTTTCCACTTCCCTAAGCAACAGTTATACCATAACTATAAATCTTAGACAAGGTAGGAAATAGGCGATTCTCATGTTTTGTTTTTTATTTTGGAGGAAAGAAAACCAGCCTCTCTAAACTTACCCTGTATTTGAAGAGTTAACTATTAACAGCTAAAACGTAAATCTGGGTGAGACTAGTCAACTGCTATCCACCGAAAGAGATCAAAACCCATGTGAGTAGATGAAGTGAGAGGAAATGGAAATCATGACAAATAACTCCAGGTACCTTGTCAAACAAACTGATTTGCATAGCAACTGTTTGGAGGAAACAAATATACTGAAAACAGATACTAACCATCTTCCCACTTCTTTTGAAGGTGTTTTGGAAAAGCTCTCTCCATCTTGTATGTCAAAATGTCCCCATGAACAATGTGCACTTTTCCCGGAGCTGCTTCAGACAGCATCTATTTGTTAGCAAGCAAGCAGAATTAGTTGATTTAGCTCCAATAAAATCTGGTAAACTTTTAAACATACTGAGCCATACGCATCCTTTGCTTCAATGGAGTTACATTAGGCATGAATCTTGCCCTATATTTTGAACCTCACATACATGTAGTAGTAAAATAGAATAATTATCTTTTAGGTCTGAGCACATTATAAATAAAAGATGAACAAAACGCATATTTCCATGCGAAAGCTACACACACAAAAATAAACCCAATACAAACAAAAGGTCTGATTCTATACACCTACTATTCACTACTTATGAGAATAAAGGGTTACAGGATTGAGAGTTTAGATCTAATACAAATAATTAAAGATTTAAGAATTTTCAAGCCTGGAATGAACACGGATTATTAAAATATATTGGAGAAAATTCTCAAATGTCAATGTAACTTATTATTTGTGCTTCAAACATGCAAAACTCTCATATAAGGCTTGATTCTGCAAAATCCTGAGCACTCTGGCCTGATCAAGCAAAACACATTATTAGTCCCACTCAAATCAATGGCACTATTCACACACTTAAAGTTAAGTACATGCTTACGTGTTGTGCAGGATCAGGCTAAAGGATTTAACACCTTGCAGGATCAAGTTTATAATGCAAATCTATACAGCCATGAAAGAAGGAGTTTTGTACTGAAACAAACTTGTGGATAATAGTTTGTTTATACAAAAATAAATGTACTTTGAAATTTTCAGTGCTCTGCTCCCTTTCTTTTTATATTAGAGATATCTGTTATTAAGGGCTTCTCTAGAGAAACAGCAAGTGGCGGTGTAAATCTACAGTGCACTAGCATGCCACACAATCTATGTGGACCCTGCTCACTTGCACAAAAAATTCCCCTAGTGCACACTGATATACTCCCATTTCAAAACGGAAATGATCAAAACGCACTAGGGAACTGTAAATGTGCGCTAACAGGGTCCACATGAACAGTTAGTGAGCAGCATGCTACTGCACTGTAGATTTACATCTTAGCTTGGTGTGCACTAACCGTTTATCTAGTCAAGACCTTAGCAGGTTTTTTTCTTTTGTTTTCTAAGTAATTAGATTTTCCCTCATGAGCCATCTACTGCTGCTTGACCTTGCATTGATTCATAATGCTTCATTTAAGACAGTGTATTTGAAATTATGTCTTCACTGTAGGATCAAACAAGCAGAGAAATAGTCTTTGAGACAGCAAACCATAATAGTAAATCACAAACACTGGTAGTAAGTACACACAGTAAGAAACATGTGAAAGATACACTGATGTGTTTTAATCTGATAGTTGCAATGTTTTTCCGTTTAAATAAAAGTGCCCCTATTGAATATACTATTTATGGAGCAAATCAATTTTTATATTTAGCAAGTATCAGAGGAAGATTTTTATTATTTTTAAAACAGATTAGGAAAAACAGATGAACAACGAAAAAGCAATTTTGGTTTGTGTGAGAGAAAATTCAAACCTATGTTATAAACAGCTAAACGTTTTGACTTTAATCAATGAAAAAAGGGAACTGATTTTTGTGGTAGCTTAGATTTATTGCTTATCAAGTCATTTCAGCAGCATCATTTGCATATTCAATTTCAATCATGCAGCTTCACTTGGGTATTTGGACAGGATGAAAAACGTTTTAAAAGTTCACCTCTATACTGCTTAATGGAAAACCAACTTTCTCAGCTTTCTGAGCCAAAGGAAACTGCTGCTTTCCAGGAATGTTCATAGACATAGCATTCAAGCAGAGATTTAAATTCCATGCAGGGGATACTGAAATGGAGTTTAACTCTTAAAAAAAAATTTAAAAAAGTCCCCCTCTCTTTTAAATGCAATTATTTTCAACTAGAGAGAGAAAAAAAATCTAACGTGAAACAAGTCCGGAATTTTAATTCAAACCAATTTAAGAGTGGATTTCATCACTGCAGCAGTAGTTTAGCTACCTATAAGTAGCTATTCTGCCTTGATATGTTAATTTTTACTGTGAAGGGTGACATCCAAGGATGCCAGATAACATAATAAGATCAATGCAGTAAATAAATAGTACCAAACGAAGTAGACAGATGTCCATACTAATAATAGGCAGTGATCATATGCGAAATTGTTTTTTAATAGTGGGTTTCGCTGTCAAGAAGTGTTTTTAGTTTTTTTAAGTGACTATAGTTTGCATAATTTAAAAATTCATTAGCATATTAGAGATGGAAAATAAACAGTTTAAGGTTCTTGTCAGCACTATAAAAGTAAATAGGTATAAGTAACTATCAGGGTTCCTTCCCCACTCTGAACTCTGGGGTACAGATGTGGGGACCCGCATGCAAGACCCCCTAAGCTTATTTTTACCAGCTTAGGTTAAAAACTTTCCCAAGGCATAAATTCTACCTTGTCCTTGAACAGTATGCTGCCACCACCAAGTGATTTAGACAAAGAATCAGAGAAAGGACCACTTGGAATTCCTGTTCCCCCAAAATACCCCCCCCAAGCCCTTACACCCCCTTTCCTGGGGAGGCTGAGAATAATATCCTAACCAACTGGTTACAAAGTGAACAGAGACCCAAATCTCTGGATCTTTGGACACTGGAAAAAAAAACAAAACAAAACACCCCAATCAGTTCTTAAAAGAAGAATTTTATTTAAAAAAGAAAAGGTAAAAATCCCCTCTGTAAAATCAGGTTGGAAGATAACTTTACAGGGTAACAAAAGATGCACAACACACAGAGGAACCCCCTCTAGCCTTAGTTTCAAAGTTACAACAAAACAGGGATAAACCTTCCTCCAGCAAAGGGAAAATTCACAAGTTGAGAAAACAAAGAAACTAATACTCCTTGCCTGGCTGTACTTACAATTTCTGTAATATGAGAGACTGGTTCAGAATGGTTTGGAGGGCATGGATTGACGTCCGGTCCCTCTTAGTCCCAAGAGCAAACGAACACAGAAACAAAGAACCCAAAACAAAGCCTCTCCTCCTCCCTCCCCCCCAGATTTGGAAGTATCTTTTGTCCCCATTGGTTCCTTTGGTCAGGTGCCAACCAGGTTATTTGAGCTTCTTAACCCCTTAAAGGTAAGGAGGAATTTTAGGCTACCCTTATGGTTATGACAGTAACAAATTAGAAAAAACAAAATGTGTTTTTTCAGATGCAACTTTGTGTCTTAATAGCCAACTATTACCTATTGCCCTTTAACTTTCACTACACTAGTAAATTCCACTGCATTTTATGAAACATGTTGGCATAAAATTGCAACAGAACATTGCTAATTTGAACTAATGACTGGGACACCCATTGTGAATTAATGCAGTTTAGAGCAAATCCTGCATCCATCAAGGGTCCTCTGGCATCCACTAAGGGTCCTCTGGCAGAAGAATTAATGAGGTTCTACAAGCTTCTAGGCACAAAGTACCGGGAGGAAGATGGGACCAGAGGCTTTGTCACTGCAGTTCCTCTTGCCCTCCACCTTGCATCTGAGTGGGTATAAAGGGCACTGACAGATACTTCCACCAACAGGCTGAATTCACCACAATGGAAGAGTTCTCCAGTCATTCCATTGCTCAGCCTAAGGGGAAAATCCTACCTCTGCCCTCTTTATAAAAGTTTGCCTAGCCAAGTTATCAGGTTGTATGCCAGCATGAGGCTATGACCCTTTGAGGATGAAATTTAGATAATTTTACAGGAATCCCCTGACCAAATATATGCACAATAATTCACCAAGGACTGGCATATAAGCACTCTACCAAAAGCCAGTAGCCCACTGGCCATCATAATCATTGTGAAATGTATGTACAGATAATATTTAAGAAGTTATGTACCTATACTGGAAATTGTGTTCTTAAAGCCTTAAAGTTAAAGGCAGGTTACCTGGTGACCTGTCTTGGACAGGTTCTGCTCAGGAGGGCACAGGAGACACTTATCTCTACATCTGGTCACTGTGTATTGTGTGCCTCACAATGTAAGTCTATTTGCATACTAAGCCACCAACTAATCAAGACTGCTAAATTGACTAGAGATCACCATATCTACAGGAAAGGAACACACCGCAGGAGGGTGTCCAGTTTATGACTAGATGAAAGGATTCATCAAGTGTATCAAAAGAATGCAGAGACACACACCTATCCTTCACTGAGGAGAGAAGTTGACAAAATGGACTGTTTCATGAAAAAGGGATCACAGCCTGCCTGGCTGAAAAACGCTGGAGAACAATACTGTAAGACATGAAAGTGACTAGTTAAATAAGTCTAGGTTCTAGAATGCAAGTTATGATTTTATTTTATATGCAGTCATTTATTTCCAATACTTCTACTTGCTATCACTTAAATCTCTACACTTTGTTAAATAAACTTACTTCTTTTCACTATAAACTTTTCTAAATGCTGTTTATTAAGCGGAGGAGCGATCTGAGGTGTAACTCATAAGCTGGGATGTATTTTCCCTTTGAGAGCAGTGGATCTGGGAATACAGCAAATGTTCAGTGGAACAACTGCTGGACTCTGCAGAGGGACATTCAAAGGGCTTGAGGGTTGAAGCATGCCCACCGCTACCCTGCGGTGGGGCAGCAGAGCTCAAGTTGGCAGGGGTGGAATGCTTCTATTGCCTATAGCCCAGGGAGTTGACCCCCAGCAGGCAAAGACCAGGCATCCTCACAGTAAGGGTAGGGGGTAGTGAGGTGCCTCACAACCCCACCTCACTAGGATGTGCTACCAAAAAAAAAAACCACACACAATGAAATCCAGTCCTTTGTCTTTTAACATATAGGATAAAGTTCTACCTGCATACTCATGTCAGATTAGGTTTGCATGTGCACATTTGATTTGAGGACAGAATTTTGCTCTTAGGCTCTGTATTGTTTTCAATTTTGTACTACAGACCCCTACTTCAATATTATGAAGCAAAAAATCATGGGAAAGCCTGAAAAGAACTTAGTAAAAATGCAGAATGCTTTAAAGGTCACTGGTTTCACACATGGTAAAAGATTCTTCTAAATAACAGTCCCCAATTGTTATTTTAATATCTAGCATTTTCTGCTGTTCAAATCCCAGGCCTTTAATGTACAGCTATTCTAGACTGAGACAGAGAACTTTCAGTGAAAAACAGAGGTTATGACCCACATCAAAGAGGGACTCATTCTGTAATTTATCATAACCTTATTTGGAAAATAAAGCTGAAAACCAAATTTAATACTAATGGATGCAAGATACTATTTGTTTATTCACACCCACTCTTACTCAAGATCTCCAATACACTGAATAGCCTGTCAAAAGCATATGAACTTCTGCTGTGAGGGGCTCGCTACTGAAAAACAGTGACTCACTCAACTAGTCTGTATATATGTCTAAGATAATTTGCTGGAGGATCCTAGAAGTGGTGCTTCTATTTAGAGGAATCTGCTTCTGCAGTAGTTTTTGAAAGCCAAACAAAAATGTACTGGCTAATTCAAGCAATTATCTGATAAGATATGCACAAAGAATTAATTACATCATATACTTTCTTACTTGGTTCAAATAATGGTGATTTATGAGTCAATTATGAGATTCAAATTTATTAACTGGTGGATAATGATTATATTCAATAATCTTAACAGATGCAGTTATAACTGTAACAACAACTGTATCAGGATGATCCTAACTACAACAGTTTTTGCAAAGACAGCATGCGTCTGCAACTGTTTCAATTGTATTTTCCACTCCATGCATCTGATGAAATGGGTTTAACCCACAAAATCTTATGCCCAAATAAATTTGTTAGTCTGTAAGGTGCCACAAGGACTCTTCATTGTTTTTGCTGATACAGACTAACATGGCTACCTCTCTGAAACCTGTTTCATCTGAGTGGGGCCGAGCATTATTATCCTTTGTTTGAGCTGAAGAAATGATTTTCACGAAAAGAGATTAGAAGTACAAAAATGTCATATCAATCTGGTGAAAAAGATGTGATCAGATAAATGGTGTTTGAGATGGACTATAAACTATTTTAAATCTCAAAACCTTAAAAGGTTTTCTACATAAATTGGTATTAAGCAGTATTATTCCAATTAATGGGTAATGCATCCAATCAAACATAATAAAACAGATTAGTTTAATCTATGTGGCTGAACAGTGTACATTAAACAACTGAACACTAGGAAAGAAGCAGAGAACACTGCAATATTTCTGATACAAGTTGTTTTAGAGCTAGGAGTACTTTTTTCAATTGTTCAGATCAAAATAGGAAATCTAATTTTTGTTCAAGTACTTTAATTTCTTAAATGTTTAAAGATGTATTAATTATACAAAAACAATTTATTTCCTATTTGATACCTGCAGTCCTGGAATAAATCGAGTATCTTTTTCAACTAACAGGAGTTGAGCAACATCAGCATTCAGAATGGATCTTGTAATTCCTCCTGGCCCAGGGCCCACCTCACAGACATGGGAATCTTTCAGCTTGCCAGCCTGTCTAGCTATCTTATCTGTAAGTCACAAAGCACATACAAAGCTTTTATTTTGCACGGCACTGAGCTCACCAAGATCAATACAGTTTGTGTTTCTACAGTAAACAATGAGTTTAACACAGAAGAGACAAACAATGACACCTCCTGGTTAAACGAGGGGAGTACTGTTGTTTTATGGAGCCTGCTAAACAGCACAGAATTCAGTTTCATTTCTAGATTACTAGAGAAACTCATATAACCAAACAGAGAGCTTGCACAGTCAGGTGCTTAATGTATTTTGTTAATTACAGAATCTATTAAAAAAAGATAGAAAAATAATTTTCTCCTTACAAATAGGAAATTCAATTCTCTTTCTGGTAGTAAAAGCTTTCGTGAGCTACAGCTCACTTCATCGGATGCAGTTTCCACAGTATGCATCCGATGAAGTGAGCTGTAACTCACGAAAGCTTATGCTCAAATAAATTGGTTAGTCTCTAAGGTGCCACAAGTACTCCTTTTCTTTTTGCGAATACAGACTAACACGGCTGTTACTCTGAAACCTTTCTGGTAGGTAACCCCTGTGGCATCTCTGTAGAGTCTGTCCATTTTAAAGGGAAATTCCATTACACTGAGGCAGTTCCAAAGAAATATAAAATGAACAAGGCTAAAGAGGAGCAGCCTGGGGATTAAGATATCTAGGAAGCAGAGCTATTTGAGATAAGAGATTGGGGGAACCCTGGAACAAGAACCAGGAAAGATTAGGGCAAAATGGAGCAGAGTTGGTTGTGGACAGATAAAGGTTAAAGGAGTGGGGAGCAGAAAAATCTGTACAAAAGGAGGTGCAGAAAACCAGGGTCAGACATTAGAAGAACACAGGGAGTGGTAAGTCCACAGCTCCCATTGGCCGGGAACTGCAGCCAATGGGAGCTGTGGGGGCGATGCCTACAGGCAGAGGCAGCACAGGGAGCCACCTGGCTGCCCCTGAGCCTAGGAGCTGGACATGCCAGCTGCTTCCAGGAGCTGCCCGAGGTAAGCACCGCCCTTCCAGAGTCTGCACCCTTCACCCCCTCCCACACCCCAACCCCCTGCCTCAGTCCTGAGCCCTTTCTGCACCCAAACTCCTTCCCAGAGCCCACATCCCCTCCCTCACCCTAATCCCCTGTCCTGAGGCCCCTCCTGCACCCCAAATTTCTCATCTCTGGCTCCACCCCAGAGCCCTCACCCCTCCAGCACCCCAAGTCCCTGCCCCAGCCCAGATCCCCCTCCCACACCCTGAACCCCTCATTTCTGGCCCCACCCTGGAGCCCACACCCCCAGCCAGAGCCCTCACCCCAGCCAGCACCTCAACCCCCTGTCCCAGCCCGGTGAAAGTGAGTAGGCGTGGGGAAGAGTGAGCGACGGAGGGAGGGGAATGTAGTGAGCAGGGGAGACAGGGCCTCAGAGAGGGAGCTGGGCAGGGGTGTGGGTGTCTCGGGGAAGGGGCGGGGCAAGGGTGTTCAGGTTCATGTGATTAGAAAGTTGGCAAAGCTAGTGCATGCCCACCAGCAGAAATTTAGATGCCCGGGGACATTACCAGTGGAGTCTTAGGTACCTAGGCAATTTAAGCACCTATAAAGTTAGGTGACAGCTGAGCAAGGGTTTTGAGGATTTAAATTTTGGACTTAGGTGCCCATCTGCCATTTTCAGTGCCTAAGTGCCCTCTTGTGAATCTCACCTTTAAGGCTTGCCCACATATGGAGTTGTTCCTGATTGACTCCACATATTCCTGTTTCTCATAACTACTTTTATTGCACCCTACCGTAATCTGAGTTAACTTTCAAGAGTAGAAAAGCTCTTGGGGGTTTCACACCCACACCGTGCAAATATTGCACAGTAGAACCATCTCTAGGTCAGCAGAGAAGGAGCAACACAGCTTAGAGTCAGCAGCATAGGTGATGTGAACTGTGGCTGAAATGAAGCTGGAGAAATAAATTTGACCAGTATAATAGAATAGGCTCAGAAAAACCAGGACAATCCCAGTAAACTAGGGCACATGGCCTTCCTAGTCAAAGTACATGCTAGGATAATAAACAAACAAATGCAGTACTTCATACCCTGCATAAATATGATCCTCAGAGTATCTCATTTTTGAGGGGAACATAGACACTATCTAATTGCCTCCCACCATTCCGTAATATTCTCTGGTAACCCTTGAGGGGGAATTAGTTTTGTTTTTGTTTTTTTTATAGGCACTGGGCACAGATCCATAATTAAGATGAAGTTGAATTTCACATTTAAATAAGAAAATCAATTTTCTGTTATGTATAAATACAGTAACTCCTCATTTAACGTTGTAGTTACGTTCCTGAAAAACGCGATTAAGTGAAACAATGTTAAGCGAATCCACTTTCCCCATAAGAATGAATGTAAATGGGGGGGGGGGGGGTTAGGTTCCAGGGAAATTTTTTTTTGTCATACAGTACTATAGTTGGGAGGTGCCCCCGCCTTACCCCACACAGGCACAGCCCACTGGCACTGGAGACAATGAGGCAGGCAAGGAGGCTGAAGGTGCTGTAGGCTAGGAGAAGCACATTGCGCAGCAGCAGCGGCGGCTTCCCCTACTCTGCAAGCACTAGGGGTGGGGGGCTCAACCCTCGGCCGGTCCAGTCCACCCCTTTCCCCAAGCCCCCCCCCCCCCTTAACCGGCCTCTTCTTCCCTCCCCCTCCTCCTTTACTCCGCACACTGTGGTCCTCGCTCTTCCCTCTCCTGCCCGCAGCAATCAGCTGGTCTGTAGCGCTCGGGAGGCAGGCGGGGCCTGCGCACCAAGTCCTCACTCCTCCCCCCTCCCTCCTGAACACCACAAGCCAGCTGATTGCCACGGGCAGGAAGCGGTGGAAGGCACTGATCCGCGGGGTCTGCTGGTGGGTGCGAGGCATGGCGAGGGGCGTAGGGGAGCTAATAGGGGGGCTGCCAGCTGTGGACAAAGCAGGCAGCCAAACGACATTATAGCGAAGCATTGCACAACTTTAAATGGAGCATGTTCTGTAATTGAGCAGGGACGTAAGGCCGAAACAACGTTAAACGAGAGAACGTTAAGTGTGGGGGGGTTACACTGTACAGGAACTCCCCCCACTCCCCAATACAGCATTTAATCCTCATACAGAATTAAATCTCTGAGCATTTATAGGTAAATGTATGGCGTTAATTTTTTATTTTTTTTTTAAATGTACCAGAGTATTGTTGTGAGGAAGACAAGAGTCCCCATGCAAACAAATGTAGATAGAACTTAAATTTTGGGGAAAAATGAATAGGCAGTTTATGATTAAAAATTTTAAAAGATGCAAGATAAAAAGTGTCCTACCTGTCAATCTCAAATCCAGGAGAAAGTTCTGGGACAGCTGCTTTTGTGCTCGGAGATTAAACAGTTTAATAATCTCTTTAACAGTGGGCAGAGGTGGTAGACGGAAAGCAGCCACCTTTCCTGAAGCAGCCATTGACCAAAACTGTTAACTCTTGCTCCTAAAAAACAGGGAAAGAAGGGACTAGGTGTAATCAAGCGTACAGTAGGACAGAATTAAATATGTAAGAAACAGAATGGAATGAAGTAAAAGACTCAAAATATTTACTTATTCTGATATCAAATGAACCTATTGCTTTAGAAGCATATATTAAAAATACACATGATATACAACTTAAGGTCTTAATCAAACAAACACATAGGAATGTGCTTAATTTTAAGCACATGAGTAGTTTCATTAACTTTAATCTACTCACACCTTTAAAATTAGGTACTGTGTGCAAGAGGCAGCACTAGAATCATATGTATTTGGCTGGTCAGACAACAGATGTAAAATGAACCCCCTATACCTCCAAAAATAGAGTTATTTAACAGTCCAGTATTTTGATGTTTAATTCTAGCCTTTTTTAAACTAAAAAGTAGTGGTTTTACATTGAAAGGGAAAGTCAGTACAAGTGTACAGAAGTTGTACACAATTATTTAATTACATCAATTTCCCCAATAAAAAGAAAAACTATTTCCTCTTTTCCTTGAAACATCAAGTTTGGTGATAAAACAAGACAAACAAGGTGGAAAGCCTAAGTGCCATTTTCCACAACACTGGTCACACTTTGTGATCCTTCTAACTCTGATCCTCTGGATGGTGGAGAAAAAGGCCTACTTGCCACAGATATTACCAAAATGTGCCCCCTTTTCAGACCCATTCCCCTAGTTTAAGGATTACACAGTATTCTTCAGCGAAGTCTTACAGTCTCAGCATGCAATGCTTCAGCGAGATCTGAGTAGCCTTAGAGACAAGACGTTCCAGCATGCAACGGTCCGTTTGGATGCAAATGGCTTTCTAGTTAGAGCAGATAGATCCTGTAGCTCAGCGATTCTCAAACTGTGGGTCAGGACCCCAAAGTAGGTTGCGAGTTCATTTTAATGGGATCACCAGGGCTGGCATTAGACTCGCTGGGGTCCAGGGCAGAAAGCTGAAGCCAGAAGGCTTCATCCCCAGGGGCCTTGGGCTCAGGCTTCAACCCTATGCTCGGAGGCTCAGAGTTTCCGCCCTGCTACTCAGTGAGTCTAATGCCAGCCTTGCCAAAGCCCGAGCCCCGCGGGACTGAAGTCCAAGCCACTTAACTTTGTGGGAGCCCTTGCGGCATGGGGTCGTGCAGTAATTTTGTTATCAGAAAGCTATCCCACTGGAAGCTTCATGAGAGCTGTAGCCTCCACATAGGCCACTGCCCCCGCGGTATAGGGCGGGCCCTGATCTGCACCAGCGTGTGCAGCTTTTAATACTACTGGGCACTTCCAGGAGCTCAACCACTGACAAACCCCCCACTTTCCAACGAGCCCAGCGCTGCCAACTACTTGCTCTCTAGCCTGGGAGCGTCTAAGAGGGGCGAGTGAAACCACCCACAAGGCCCCACGGTTCTCACCCCGCTTGCCTCTGTAGAGGGCTCTGCTGGCCGCGCCCTGGGGGCCCGGCCCCTGCGCACGCGGAGGCCCAGGCAGCGCCCCGTGAGGCTGGGAGGGAGGTGTGATCGCCCCCCGGCCCCGCCCCCTCCACATCACGGGCCCCGCCGCGACGTAGAGCCCTCCCGGCGGAGAGGCTTCGCACATGCGCAAAGGCCCCAAAGGGGAGGGGGACATGGGCGGAAGCGGCCCACCTGAAACTTACTGGTGGAGGCCGCTGTGGCGTGGAGGCGCGGAGCGCACCCGAGCGGGAAGACGCGCGCGAGAGTCAGGCGACTGCTCGCTGGTATATTTTTTTTGTAAAGCGTAACTTTATTAGCGCGTTAACCAATAACAACCGCCACGCGGCGCAGGGACCCGGATACGGAGGAAAGCGAACCGGAAACAGAATTTCGCCGCCCAATCAGGCCTGGGTCTCCCCGTAGCGCATGCGCCCTTGCCGTCCTCCTCAACATTACACTCCGCCTTCCCGTGCCTGGATAGGGTCTCACACGCGTCATCGCCTTGGGAACGGTGGTCTTAGATCGCATGCGCACCATTGGTCTCAAAACACTCCCGCGCCCCGTCTGTTGCACGTGCGCTTCCTACTCTCAAGCCGATTCCGGGTCGTGGGCTTCACACTGCGCAGGCGCAGTAGTGCGTCCATGTGCGCCGCTTGCTGGGAGTGTGTAGGGGTGTCCTGGGCGCGCCCCCGGGTAGTTCTTGCTCTGCGCGCGGCTGGCGGGCAGGCTGCGCTGGGTTCAGCCTGTGCTTTCCTTGTGCTTTCCGTGCCCTAGGTTTGCTTTCAGGGCAGTTTGTGCCGCCCCGTGATTAACGTGAAGTCCGCTGTCCCGAGCCCTGCTGCCAAACCTGCCCCCTGCTTCTGCTTGCAGCTGGGGCCCCCTGCCGCCCTGAAGTTGGAGCCACACGCGAGGGGGCTGGTTCCTGGGCAGAGCCTCACTAGGGTTGCCACCTTTCTAATGGCTGGTAACTGGACCCCTGATGTTCCGTCCCCTGCTCTGCCCCCCTCCCCGTTGTGTCATTTGCTTTGCCTGTTCGTGGCCCCACTCTCTTTCCACCCCCTCCCCCCCCCCCCGAACGGCATGCCCCTCCCCACCAGGTCAAAAAACAGACATCTGGGCTTGTCAAATGGCACCGGGACACACAAACCGAAACCCAGGTGGTCCAGGTAAAAACCGGATGGGTGGCAACCCTATGCCTCACTAGGCAGCAGTGTCCAGCCATGTAGATCCAATAACATAACTGGGGCGTAAAACTGTAAGAAGTGACGGGGTGCAAAACACAAGGGGCCAGACCCACAATAAGACAAAGGCATTGCAGTGCTCAGCATTACAATGCCTCATGTTTAGGTGTTCTGTCACTCAGTGGAGTCCTCAGCCCTACATTTGGTGCTCAGGCTCCCTATACAATCCACATCAAAAATTGAGCACCTACAAATGGACTCACTAGAAAGCCTGCAAATTGAGGGGAACAGCTTCAAAAGGAGAGATTGAGAGTGACCTAGTCCAGAAAATATCATAGCTCAGTGGTTTGGGCAGTCACCAGGAGTATAGGAGATCCTGCTACACATGAAGCAGAGTGGGGATTTGAAATCAGGTATCGCACATTCCAGGTGGGACACCTAACTCATGGCTACTGGTATTCACACATGCCCATGCCTTCACCCCAAAATTCCTAGTCTGGTCACCCCGATAGTCTTGTGGGCTTTGGTGTGCTCTGGAAACACCTACTGGACTGGGCCATGTGCAAGATGGGCATGGGAATGTTTAATCTGAGCATCGTGCTGGGATTTAAGCATGAGATAGGGTATCAGATGTGTGCAGTGTTGTGCATGCTTACTTGGAGAAACTTAGGCAACCAAGGAATTTGGGCACTCAGAGACTAAATCCATTTGTGGGTCTAGCTCGAAGTTTTTAACAACATTGATTTGTTAACATTACAGCCCTGAAGCAAGTTTCAATCTTGAAAGTGGTGTTCTCCAGAAAATTTTGAGCATATAAAACAGCTATAAGAAAAATCATCTACAGCCTTCGCTAGAGCTTTCATTACTATGGACAATAAATATAACATCATTTATCCAAGACTCTCAAAGCTCAAACATAATTTATCCTAGGAAAGCCTGTCAGGTGATTTAGTGTTATCCCCATTTACAGGGGCGAAATGAAAGTACATAGACATTGGTGTCTCAATTTTCAGAAGTCACTGCAATCAATGGTATGTGCAGATACTCAGTAGCTTTGAAGATCCAGCCATAAATGACTTACTGAATGCATCCAATGAAGTGAACTGTAGCTCACGAAAGCTTATGCTCAAATAAATTTGTTAGTCTCTAAGGTGCCACAAGTACTCCTTTTCTTTTTGCTTAAAGTGGTACTCCAAGTCTGGAGCAGAACTAAAAATACAAAGCAGATATCCCGACTTCCAGTTTTTTTAGGGTATGTTTACATTAGAGGTTTTTTTTAAAAAAAGCTTGAGTTAACTAATTTCCAAGTTCATGGTTTGCCCAATTCTACACACCTAGGACTTGATTTTCAGCAGTATTCATGACCTGCAGTTCCCCTTAATTTCTGCTGGAGTTGAGAGTGCTGAGCAGCTCGTGAGAATCATGCCTTAGGGGGTCTTGAGTTGGAGACAATTACACTTAACTCCTCAAAGGATCCCATGGGAGTTAAGCTCCTACCTTTGAGGATCTGGGCCTTCATGCACTTAACTTCTTCTGACTACAGTGGGAGTTTCAGGCATTCAGCAGCTTACAGTATCAGCTGCTTAGTGACACTTCACCTATGAATGACAAAATAAATCAAGCAATTGATATGTCACAAGTAAGTATTTGAATTATAGAACATACTGTAGCTAAAAATATATGTACAGTACACTTCTTTCAACATTTTCCAGTACTACTTGTAAGAGTCCCCTGCTGACATCAGAAGTGATTGGGCATGGCAGAGAAGAATGTTCCTTTCTCTGTGGTACTGTAGAACTAACGATGGGTTTTAAGTACCTACTTATGATTTTGCTTTTTTATTTATTTGCTTGCTGATTGCTTTGACAGGTAAGTGAATGGTAAGAAGCTGTTTTCTGGAAGTGGAATATTTAATAAAAAGCCAAGAGGAAGTCCTGGAGAAGTGAAGTGCATATTGGTAGTTGCAGGTGGAAAAGTAAAGTTCATAGAAGGGTGTGTCTTTTTTATTACATTAAATGTAAGCTTGACATTAATGTTTCCAGTAAGTAACCCTCAATCAGGGGAAATCACTGAGGGGGGCTCTAGGTTACATTCACTGAATAAATCCTCTAGCATCAATAACAAATTCCCAATAATACAACAACAAATCAGTAGATCCCAGTAACATGTTAAAGTCCCTCTATAAGGAGTAAGTTGGGCAGTATGGGCCCCCATTCTGCTCTGATTGAAGTCAATGGGATTTGTCCTGGCTCAAACCCATGTACTTTGTATTATAAAACAGATAAGCATCAGTTACGTAAAAGGTCATGGAATCAGCAGAGGTATTTACAGCCACTGATGGAAATAGCATATTTAAAGGACAATTTAAATGTACACTAATGTAAACTTTTTTACTGTCCATATCTAAGTGTAATGATTAAGTCACTAAAAATATTTCAAATGCAATAAGATTAATTAACAAACGGTAAATCAACATCCTGACAGCTTCGTAAGGTAAATTAAGACTGAAGATATTCATATCCTTCTGAAGAACATAGAAAAAAATCAGACCATTGCACAGTTTTAAGGTAATTTATATAAGTGGGTATGTATTATAAGTATACTATATAATACATACATACACACAGACACACACAGACTATTTTTGGTTGATTTAACAGTTGGTGAAAAAATTTCTAAATTAACTGCAAGTATTTAAAAATGTTAGGCTACTTTCTCCCCATTTGGGTTGTTCACACATAGGCTTTATCTAAACTAGAATTTAAAGAAGTTAGATCATGTCCTCTCTTTCTAATTAAAGACCTTCTACAGTTCAAGTGAAGACACAGCAATATGATAGACCCATTAGCATATTGGATTAGAGTCTAGGCTTCTCCCATATAACATAATAACAGCCATACTGGGTCAGACCAAAGGTCCATCTGGCCCAGTATCTTGTCTTTTGACAGTGGCCAATGCCAGGTGCCCCAGAGGGAATGAACAGAGCAGGTAATCATCAAGTGATCCATCCCGTCACCCATTCCCAGCTTCTGGCAAACAGAGGCTAGGAGTACCATCCCTGCCCATCCTGGCTAATAGCCATTGATGGACCTATCCTCCATGAATTTATCTAGTTCTTTTTTGAACTCCATTATAGTCTTGGCCTTCACAACATCCTCTGGCAAAACCAGGTACCATGCCCTGTCTAAACCAGGAACACAGGTGAGTTTTTACTATGTGATAGTTAACATTGTAAAATCCTAGCGTAGACAGGGCAAGTTGTAGATTTACCTCAGTTTATCTGGTTGGAGTGCAAGACAGTTTGTTTACATTGACCGTCCAAAGGCATGGCCGCCCACAGCTCCCAGTGGCTGCGGTTTGCTGTACCCAGCCAATGAGAGCCACGAGCGGCCGTACCTGCGGTCACTCAGGTAAACAAAGTGTCTCGTGGCCCGCCAGGGGCTTACCCTGAACAAGCCGCAAACCAAGTTTGGGAACCCATGATCTAAAACTAGTAGCTAAACCTGTGGAAGGGGTGTGGCAGCTGGACCAACTAATCCACCATCCATGCAGTCTCCCTTACACAACCAATGAAATTGTTGAATGCAAATTAGCTATGGAGTAAGGGTGATGATTGGTTGTGTTACCTACCTAGGATTCTTTGCATGACATACTGTGGCAGTACACTGCACAGGTATTATTCATAAAGTCAAAATTGCTGAGACCTTAAAAATTGGTGAGGATAGACCCCGAAACCCAATAAAGGTTGCACCTGGTGATATT